GGTGCCACCCGGCCCCGCGCTGTGCGCCTGACTCCTGCCCGACGGCGCTTCAGGGGCTGGAGAGGTGCCTGCAGCTGCGCGCAGCCCTGGGGCGCGGTGTGGGCAGCGGGCCTGGCCCTTGGCAGCGAGCCCAGCAGGAGTCAGCCCCAGACAGCTGCTGGGAGGGCTGAGGCAGTTCTGGGATGCAAGGCTTGGGGACCTGCTGGTTTGGGATGGACAGAAGAGAGGGGGATGTTCGGTCTGAAGAAAAGGAGACTTGGGGAGACGAGATATTGGTGCTCAGGTGCACAAAGGGAAGCTCTTCTCCGCAGCTATAATAATGGGCATAAATTGCAGCTACCTGGTTTTCGTTTAAATATAAGAAAGTTCCTGATGGAACAGTCTACCTACGGAGGTTGTGGGGTCTCCATCTCCGGGAGATCTTAAGAGGCTGGACAACCACCTCTCATGGCTGGCTTTCCTGCACATGGCAGAGGGTTGGACTAAAAGGTCCATGGGGTCCCTTCCAACTCCGCAATTCTGCGATTCTGTAAACCCAGCCCGTGGCAGTGATTTGACAGTTGTGTTAAACAGAGCAGGGCTTCATGGAATATGTGTACTTAACCTGCCGTCCTTCACTCTGCAGAAGTGACCTAGGAGTAAATCGGTTTCTCCTGGTATCAATAGGACACCAGTTTTGTGCATCAAACCAAACAAACATTGCCTTTGGTCCTGATCCTGATTGCCACAGCTTGCCCAGTCTATTCAGAGCTCCTAACAGCAGATAGTGCCACTTTAGAGGGGTCTATGCTTCCTGGCAGCCACCCCTTGGGTTGGTGGTTGAAATGTGTATTTCAGCATTCCTCAACCTCTGCAGCTTGAAGATGGGTGGACTTCAACTCCCAGAATTCCCCGGTCCACCCATCTTCAAGTTGCTGAGGTTGAGAAACACTGGTGTATTTAGTGGAAATCAAACATGCCAGGAAAGGAAGGGTGTTTGTCCAGTATTGCTCTGGGCGAAGCTCAGTCCTCTTCTCAACAAACATGTCCTCCTTAGAGGGGACCCACTTCATAAAGTTAAGTCAGGTCTGTAAAACAAAGCACCATCAAGACTTTCACCAAGGGGGTGTTTCTCATAGCCCAGCAAGGAAAGGTTATTTTGCCTATGGCTTTCCTTAACAAGAATTGCACCTCCTAATATAGAGTGAATTATACTGTAGTATTCTGACATTCAAACCTTCATGTTAGATGTTAGTAATGTATGTTACTCGTGTTATGCACAAGGGATCAAATTCTTCAAATTCCAGACGGGGAGTGTTCTGCCCCACGTGCCTATGTCACCCTTGCCCTTTCAGGTGATCTTCCTATGCTACTAGCATCGCTTACCCCACTTTTAACAGCGGTGTCCTTCCTCACATCCACTGAAACGTTAAAATCCTTTGGTGCTTAGCCAGGCTGGCGTGCCACCTGATCCAAAGGGGCCCCAGAGTTTCCCGCAGGGACCAGCCTTCCCAGGAGAGAGGATTGTTAGGCATCAGCAGCCTGTTGGGGGGAGCACTGAAAATGAGACTTC